GGGAGGTCGGGGGGGGGTCTATGCCCCGCGTGGGCGGCGGGGAGGGGGTTGTCGCAGGCCCCGGCAACGGTTTCTGTTGTAACCTGGTTGCCTAACAACGCCGAGCGGCGTCTTAAAGGGGCCGGCAGCTGGGAACGGGTTCGGGGCCGCCCCGCGCGTCATCACTCCCAGCCCTTCTCGGTGCCGCGGGGCAATGCCATTGGCAGGCGTGGGGAGCACCGCAGTCCGGTGCATCCCCAGAGCCGCCCCTAGGGGCTGTACCACCGCCGCTCTGGGGGTAGTTGCAGGGGGACGTGGTCAGTGGCAGTCGAGTGGTTTGCTCCGGGGCCGGGAGCGGAGCAGGCTCGGGCTGGGGCGGCGCCGCCCGCTATGGAGAGCGGGTCCTCGCTAGGGTAGGGGCGGGACGAGGAGGGGAAGCCCTATTGCAGCCTTCCCAGTGGGTTCGACTGCCTCTTCCCCGGGGGATGGGATGGGGGCTTCCCGCTGCTTCCAGCGCCCGAGCCGGCTCCGGCGCTTCTGCCTTGCCCTCCCTCGCGCAGGGCTGGGGCTGTGACTGCATTGGGCCGGCGGAGTTTGCAGGGATCCTGGTGGAAATTGTGGATCGTATTAAGCTGGGGTGCGGGGGCTCTGGACCCTGGCTCCACTGCTGCTTTTTTACCCGTCTGCTAAGACAGCCGAAGAGCAGAAAGGCCTGACTTCCCCAGGCCGGCTCCCGAGGCTTTCCCCTCTCGTGATGGGCGTCTTGCCGCAGTCGCTTCAGGTTCGGGGCCTAAGCTGGAGAGAAGAGACTGGCGCGGGCTTCGCTGGGCTGGCGGGAGCGGGTCTGTTGGAAAGCAGCTGAACTCTATTCCTGGTGGTAAAGCCGAGCTGGTGCTGGCAGGAGGAGACTGGTCCTTAGTTGTCTCCAACATGAGCCCCTCAAAATCCTCCCCTTCTGGACTGTCTGCTTGTTTTCTGCTTGGCTAGACAAACTGAAATGCAGCACAACCTGCGGCAGTTTGTTTGCTTCCACTTGCAGTTCCTCAGCTGACTCCCTTGTTGCCATTATGCATTGCATTTATGCATGTTGGCTTCATTTTAAATAAATGTGAACGCTTGTGGTAGGGTAAGAGTGATATTATAGCTGCAATGGTCCAGGAGTTATGCCACAGGCATAACATATTATGCCAGATGCATAATTTCTTATAATGATAATGATATCTTTCATTGGACCAGCTGTGTAACTGGGATAAAGTTAGACAAGCTTTTGAATGTAAGATGTTTGTAAACACTGTCATTTGTGTAGGAGTTTGTAGGATGCTATAAAACAATTTGAAAATTTTGTCCTTTTGTAGCAACCTTTGAAATAAACCTAAGTAAAAGGAAATATTACTTTGTAACAGCACAAAAGTGTTCGAGAGGTGAAGATTTCTGACCGTGACATCTTTCATTAGACCAAACGTAGCTGGGATAAAATTAGACAAGCTTTTGCATGTAAGATGTTTGTGGGCTCCTTGTGCCTATGACATTTGTCTTGCATTTGAAAGCTTGTCTCAACTTTCTCAACTACATTGTTAGTGCAATGAAGTATATCACCCCAAGAAATCCTTGCCCCTCAAACACTTTTGAGTTTATACATTGTAATATTTCCATTTACTTTGATTAATTTCAAAGGCTTCTATAAAATGACACAATTTTTATACAAATTATTTTGTAGTGTCCTACAGATTCATATGCCAATGATAGCATTTAACATGAGCCATCAGAAAATTAGCTAGTACTGTGTTCAGTGTAGTATACATATAAACAATTTTAATGGACTTGGTGGGGCGGGGGGTGTTTTCTGAAGGGATTTTTGTTGTTTTTGGCTAGTTTTAATGTTCTTGCATATGTTAGCATGCATTAAATTATTAGCATATGCACAAAAATGAAAAAGGGGAATCTGCTGAATTTTCAATAGTTTAAATTAAAAGCAGAATCTTAAATAACTTCATTGGTGCAATGTCTAATTTTATGAAATGACTTGAGTTTTTCTTCCCTTGAGCATTGGTGTATTATCTGAACATAGCTGTGGATGCACAGCCCTCAAAATGCTCAAGTAAACTCTATATCCCCTTTTCCTTTTCTTCTGCTCCATTTTCTCTTGTAGAGGATCCTTTCTAATAATTTAATTGGCAGTTGAGTCTTGTGCTTGTTTCACAAACTTTGAATCCATGCACATTTTAAAAGATCTTCTCAGGCAAAAAGCTCTTCTCAAGCAAAATGCACATTTTAAAAGATCTTCTCAAGCAAAAAACAGTGGCATAAAATATCTAGTTATCTCCTTAGCAAAATTCTGTTAGTGCTTCTTGCCTTATAGCCATGTTAAAGGTAGCATACTGAATTAACAGTATTTCTGTTAGTCTGCTTAGGTACAGTATTTTACTACAAGTAGAATTTTGAGCTTTCTTCACATTAATTGAATTTTTGTATAGTAAAAATAAATCTTAATAGGCATTTTGCCTTGGTTTTTCCTTAATGTTTCATATTGTTTAGGATCAGTATCTGATAAAAGTAAAAAATATAATTATAGATAGCTCATTATACTATCTATTTTGGAGTGAGAAAGACGCTTGCAGATCTTACTATCATTCTTTCCCTAACTTAAAAAAATGTCTCCAAATAGGGTTTGGAAACAATTCCAGAGTGTATACATGTGGAACTGAAGGTCATAAATTCAGTTGCCACAGTCCAGTGAGCTATGGAAGCAACCTTTTTTGGTGTATGACTTGATATATGTTATTCTTGCAAGTGAGTAGGCTTCAGTAGGTAGCTGATGTGAGCAAGTGTGGAGCTTATTGTGAAAAAATCCCTTTTTCTTTTCATAATATTAATAATGTTCAGCAATCCTTCTGTAAAATTGCTTCTCCAAAAGTAATATAGCCTGTGCCTAACAGCATATATTCTCTTTTAGGTTTCCTTTGACTTTCAGTGTGCAAAGTCAATGAGAATGATTTAGGACAATCAGATGGGGAATTTATTTTTGGAATTGATCTTCCTGTATTACCACAAAGGTTTGTAACTGGGTTGCCCTAGATCTGCCTCATTTGAGGACTGTTTACTAATTTAAAGAATAACTTCCCCATACCAGTATGTTATACTAACGTTTTACTGTAACTCAGCAGGCAGATTTCTCTTAATTTCAGACCTTTATTTGCTTATCTTGGTACACTGTGTGCTAACTTTATTTTTTCCATTTGCCTTGTTATTTTTCAGCTGTCATGAATCAGTCTCTGTGTGTTGTGTCTCCCCCCCCCTTCCCTTCCCCCTTGGTTATTTTTGACAGGCAACTGGCTAGTTCTATAATAATAACCTATGTAGAAAAAAAGAGTACTATATTCAGAAAATTATTGGCATTGTCTTACAGGATCTTTTGCTTCTCTCGGAGGAGAAATTCTAAAGGTTGCTATGCATTAGGTCAGGGGTGCTCAACCCCTGGGCTTTGGGCCAAAACTAGCACATGGAGCCATTGCATCTGGGCTGTGGGGCTCCCCACAGATCAGGAAATTTGGCAGCGGGGGAGCAGTGGCAATTATTACTACCACCTTCCCATGCTGCCAGTTTCTCAAGCTTCATACAGCTGGGTTAGGATCAGGTCACGCCCCCTCCTCCCTGCATGTCCAGGTCAGGACTGGGCACTGCCTATCCACCTGTGGGGCAAAAAAGGATGGGCACCACTGCTTTAGGTCAGTTATCTCCAGGGAGGTTTTCTCTAAAGCTAAGCTAACCAAGATTTTCAAGCATACGTTGCTTTATCTGGTATACGCAATAATTTGATGACTAAATTGAGTTGTTTAAGGTTGTTAATAATTTAACTTTTTGTAAACTCCAGTTCCTCCTGGTGAAGAATTGCGTCATTCTGAAGCTGTGTTTCTCTCCTAGGAATCTAAGAAACGATGTCAGATATCTTGGACCAGTTTATTGAAGAGCAAAAGGCCAAGTTGGCACAAGACAAAGCAGAACTTGAAAATGATCCTCCTTATATGGAAATGAGGGTAAGAGAATTTAACTGCTTGAATTTTAAACTTTTTTTTTAAAGTCTGCTTTTGATGTGCTCATAAAAGCTAATTTTTTATAAGATTTTTTTACATCTGTGCATGGGAGGGCATTGGCAAATCTAATTTCTCCTCAGACTTGGGTATTAAATGTGTTCAGCTGTGAAGATTGGTAGGCTGTGCTGCATTTCTTTCAGCCATCAGCCTATTGAATTTTGATGTTCATAGGCTGGTAGCCAGAGACACTGAACTATAAGCTCTTGCTTCTAATTAAACATTCTTATTGTCCTGGGTAGGATTGTTTCTAAGTCTGGGATCCATATCCTCAGACTACCCTTCTTTTACCCTTCCAGAAAAATAGTCACAGTTCTGTTTCTTGAATTAGTCTCTGAGACGTGGTAATCCTTTTTCTTCTTTCCCTTCCATTCTGCTTTGGTGTATTATTATCTTGCTAGTCTAATGGTTCTCAACCTCCTGCCTGTTTCCCATTCCTGCAGCCTCAGGCCTCAACCCCTCCTCCCCCTGTCATTCACTGCACTGGTTTTGCCCCGCACAGCCCCAGGTCCATGTCCCTCTTCCCTTGTCTCCCTCCCCCAGAACCTCTGCAGCCCCCGTCTTCCCCTTGCTGCTTGCCCTTTCTCTGTTGCCAACAGACTCCATCCTCACTCCAGCCTGGGGCACAAAACATGGCTCTAGCCCAGCCATATAGCAGGAGACTGGAGAATGAATGGAGCTTGCTGATGCAAGGGTAAATGGCAGCAGGAGGGGAGAAGAGGTGGGTGGGGATCAGAGGCAATGGGATGGGGGAGATGGGGGAAGGAAGCAGGTTTCCAAGGTTGTGGGGGAAGGAGTGGTACACTGGGGAGATAGGAGGGCTGTGGGAGGCAGGCACAAGGAGGGGAGAAGTGTGGGAGGGTGACAGGCGGTAGAGGGCAAACTGTCTGCTTCCGCCCCACCACCATCTGCCCCTCCCCAGTGCCTGGCACCACTGCCTCCACATTGCCTATCCCCTTACTGCCTCCCTACTGCCTGTCCTACCATGTGCCAGCCCACAGCCTTCCCCCTCCCCACCATGTACCCCTCACAGCTGCTTTCCCAGGTGCAATGCTGGTAGGAACAAATTTACGATGATCTTCCAATAATTAGATTCTATACGTGGAAAATTATATAACAAATTTATAAATTTTCCATGTATAAAATCTAATTATTGGGGGGTCATCTTGCATTCAGGGTTGTCTTGGAAAGTACAGTAGTTTTGAAATTGTGTACCCCTCAACTGATAAAAGTTATGGAGGGGTGTTTTTGAGTCCAGTGAAGAGTGTTTGAAGTCTAAAAAAGGTTGAGAACCATTGCATTAGTCACCCTGTGTTCAGTTTTCCTAACTCCTGTTGAGCCCCAAGCTATTAATTTCCTGCTTGGTGCATCCTACTTGGCCATCAACTTTTCTTTGTTTATGTACCCATGACACTAATTTTTCAAGGTATTAAAAGAGCAGGCAGGCTTTTGTCTTCATCTTGCCTGCTTAGACCAGTTATAGGAAGCAGGAAGATAATTCTGCTGCATTGAAAGCTGTATTTTCACTCCGCATGAGCTGTGGGGCTGATACTCTGACCTTGCCCCACCATATCTGGATTTTTTTTTAACTAGATGACTGACCATACTGACTAATAGCACGGACCAGATCTTTCTTGTTAAGAAGAATAAAGGGCACATGAATTGTTTGATTCCCAAATATTTCACAGACTACAAGTGCTGGTGGAAATCAAATACAACAGTAGTTCTTGAATTAATACAAGAGCTCCTTCTTGTATATAATGATGGTGAACTCCTTGCTGTGTTGCATGTATTTAAACTCGGATCTCTCTGCTTTCAAATTAAAAATTAAATAATGTTCCTGCAAGTGATTTTATAGCTATTTCTCTTACCTATTCAAGCAAAATGCACTTTTTCTTTTCAGAGCAAAGGTTCAGAACAGCTTTCTGAGACCAGCAAAATGTTAATCTCTATGGCTAAAGAAAATATACCACCAAATAATCAAGAGAGCTGTCCACTAGGTATGGTATACTTTTTATATGCAGTAGTTTTTAGGCGTGGATAATAGTTAATTATCTTATAGAACTTTAAGTATTGCAGAAAAAAATGTTCATACTTTGCATTCTTATAAGAGCATCATAATAGTTCAATCACATTAAGTTTCTTTCACTGCCTTTACAATATCTTGTTTGCTGTCTGAAAACTTGAGAGAGAATATCCTTTGTTGTAAGCATTACTCAGTTTAAGTCCTGGGCTAATAATGTCTGTTAGCCAGTCTTGGGGGAGGAGAAGAGACAGACAGCATGAGGCTGTCTGTTGGAGCAGTATTTCAGGTGGAATGTCCATTCCATTTGCTGCCAGAGATTTTTCTCCCACTTGGGGATGGAAACGCAAGAAGTTTTTGGGGAGTTCTTTGTTTTGTTTGTTTGCCCCTTGGCACAAGTAGTCCTATGGCATGGTTCATAGGACCACAAGCAAATGAGCTAAATCTCTTGACAAGCCTAAAAAGGCAAAAGATAAAGCAGCTATATTTTTTTTTAAACTGGACTCTGTACTTGGATCACTTTGGTTAAATGAATTAATAATATTTGTGTTTAATTTATTTGTGTAATAAAGGATGATGTAGTGAATTCATGGAGTACACAAAGAATAAATCAAAATACTTACTTGAAGTCTAAAGTTGTGTGTTAAGCTGTGTTTACTAGAAGACCTCTTGAATATGAGACAGACACAAATTCAGTTTTTATTTTGTTGAGTAAAGTTATTTTTATTTAGGTATATTTTTCAGTTTAACTTTTTTGTAAAGTCTTATACTTTGACTGGAGCGTTTATAATCTCTCTTCTCTACAAATTTTTATTTACTTTCTAATTCTCTTCTGTTTCTTTCTTTGCACATACTTGATGTTATTCCATTCTTCATTTTATTTTTTT